ATTTCTGTAATATACTTACATATCTATATTATTTCTAATATATATTGTAATATATCTATATCATGGCTAAAGCACTTCTGGATGGATGCAAACTGCATTTCGTTGCCCTGTACCTGTGCATGTGCAATGACAATAAAGTTGAAAACCATTTAAAAAAATATATGGTGGTTTAGATTTTCGTGAGTGACACGCTCTCAGACTCATCGAGCGATACTACTGACCAGCCAATCAGTGGCTTGCAGTCAGACGATGTCACATTTTAGTACCTGCCCGGATCGATTGGAATCCTGGGAAAGCAGTTACAAAAAAAAAAAAAAAAGGTACCAGGTACTGTGACCTGATGCAAAACCCTGCAAACAGTGATGAACCGTGCAGAGTTGCTTTGAGCAGGCACTAATGGAAAAAGGGCTTCAGAGTTAAGAGACTTAAGCTCACCTGTTGGATCCATAACCAGCACTGATTAGCGCATCAGATAGCACAGCGACTACCTGGCTCTTTGGATAAGTTATACTTGCAGATGTTTGAAGGATGACTGGAGAGCAAAGGACTCCAGTAATGTTTTTTTCACAGCAGGTGGGCATGTTCCAGTAGCTCTGATGTCACGGCAAAATGTGTAATAGGCACGCTGGTCCACTGTGTCCATTTACACACCCATGTAAAAATTGGATTACCAGCAGGGGGAGCTAATGTATTTAAAGTCAAGTCAGAAGTGAGCAAAACATATTAAGTTAATTCCAGGGTCCTTAATCAGCAAAATCCATTATACTATGTTAATATGCATTTCCATGTAAATGTCTGTTTAAACACGTTGCTGTGATTATATTCATGTTGGCTTGAAATAAAACGTCTCCTTCTGCTGGTACTACAGATTACTACAACTTCTGCAAGCGTGTACATTTCACATTTTGGAGAGGCAAAGCGTTACATGGAAACAGTGGACCAGCGTGTTGATGGAATGGTAGAGTTACTGTCATTAGTAAGTCCCACCTGAAACAACAGTGTGGGTGGAGTTTGCCTGTATGTGTCATCAGTTGGTGATTAAACATTATCAGTATTGAACAGTGGCTCAGGCTGCACCAATCAAGAACCACTAACAAACAGCCAATCACGGAGCCATGCACATGTGCTATCTGCTAAGTGCTGGTACCTTGTTGTTCTGACTCCAGGTCCAGGCAGGTGGCGTCTGGAGGTGGAGAAGCAAGAAGGGGTTCTGACCACTAACGATAACCAAAATGGAGAGCAGCTTCAGATACGAGATCAGCTGAGCCACACACCTGACGGGAGGAGGCAGGTTAGACACAGCTGTAGAGGCTGGGGACAGAGTTTACAGACGGAGCACCTCACCTGCTGAAGGCAGTGGGAGGGTAGTTCTCGCCCTGGATGCGGATGTCCGGGTACACCTCGCTGATGGCCTGAGAGTAATCCTGGAAGACTTTACTGTAACCTCAGGAGATACTGAAAGAAGCACATCTGTTAGGATATTATAATCTGTCACACTTACACACACTGTCACACATAATAACATTAGCCGATCAATTATCAGGTGTATTTTTTTTTATTTTCCCGAAAGACGGACTTTGAAGACAAGAACACCTGCCTTAAGGTGTCCAATTAGATGGTCAGAAGCGAAGCAACTCGAACTTGATCAGCCAACAAAATCCGGGTAGTCTCCAAATTCCAACCGACCAAATGAGCAAAGTTGGGTTACCCGAAGCTCGTTAACGACAAGTATTCACCGCTAGTTAGCGCTGGCGCCGTAGATCACACTAACTTAACTGGTATTGTCGATGGTTTGTGTTTAGATTTTCACCCACCCTGTCTTTATTTTCTCTTCACCTCGGTCATTCTCACGGTTGCTCACTGCTAGCCTCTGTTAGTTTCTGTGTTAACTCACCAGTACTGGAACCGCAGTACGGGGCCGCTGTAGATCGCCGCCTTAGCGGGCTTTCCCGGTTCCGTGTCCGGGAAGACGGCCGGGTTGTCGGGTGGTTGGTGCCCACTCTGCGAGCTCGACCTTCCGACATAAATGTCCCGGAGGGTGAGCGCCGTGAAGAGGAGCAGGGCCACCAGAAGGCCAGTCTGGCTGTACTCCGCCATGACTGCAGTAGTCAAACACAGGAATCGGAAGCAGAACTATATTCGCTGATGCCACGCTTCCGCTCTGCTCTTTCACATTAAAAGAAACGTCCGGCGGGAAAAATGACGGTTTTTGATACATATTCAGCGGGCTTTAAATATTTTGTTTGGAGCGATAAAGCTGGTTCGTGTTTAGATAATCTGAGATGTTTTTATCTGAAACACCAGCGGTGCGGTGAAGGGGGGTTGTTTTTTTTTTAACTCATGTATAATCCCATAGTGACGTCACATTCAACCGACACAAAGTGGTAAACAGTGCAACGTCATAAACGTGGGACACAGCGTAGCGTGTGGTTGGAGGCGCCAAGGTGGTATAGATAGAATAGATATAAGCAAATAAAATCGGGGATTTAATTATTTATTCAGCCTCTGACCCCGAGCACAGAGCACCTAACGCCTGACGTCACACAGGTACGTTTCCGCTGTACGCTCATGTTAAAGATTGCAATATCGAAGAAAAGAAAAAGGAGGTGTGATTCTGTTCTGAATGATTCAATATGTCGCTTGTCTCTCTGAGATTGTCATTGTTATTGTTCTAAATAAAGTTCATTTAAAAAAAAAAGATGCAATATCGAGCTGTTAACACGAGAACGCATGAGATGTATTCACGCAGTAAACATGTTTACCTGGACAGGTAAAGACTTTAATTAATGTAGGGGAGAGTGGGGTGAGTTGTGCCAGTTTTTACTTAAAGTGACTTTAGAGCGACTGTAATGTCCAACTAAAACATGTACACATATTTCAGGATGTTGAGCAGTAAAAAAGTTCTGACATGTTCAGAACAAAATGAAATTCAAATGAAGACGAAATTAACTGCAGTTGTCTTCACAAATCTGGCCTACTCCATAACATCCCAGCTGTTGATGCTACTCACTGCTCCCTTCTGGCTCTACCACCAAGTTTTTGTGATGTGGTTAATGTTTTTATGCACATTTTCTCTATGGGAAATAATTATGAATATTCTCTATTACTTTTTCTTAATAAATGCACACTTAACCAAACCTGCTTTTGCATGTGATATCCCTGCCAGCTGGATCAAAATCTAATTTCTTTGTGCATGAACTGGCTTTTGAGTATTCACAAAGAAATGAACATATAAAGGCTGCTAGTGCCTTAGATGTTTTGTCAAAGACTTGATGGCATTTCCATCTGTAGCATCCAGCCGAACTGAGAAGGCCAGAACTGATGGTTGTTGAATGACTTTTATTATTCCTTGCCGTGTATCAGACAACGAACCAATGTAAGAGCTTGTTCCCCTGTCGACTGTAGCTAGAGCCATTCATTTTTATACTATTGTTTTTCTCTCCCTTTTCTCCATTATCAGTAGTTTGCAGTTTTCTTGCGTCTTTTGTTACATCAAGCTAGTTTCCGTTTGCAACATTCACGTCTGGTCACACAGGAAGTTACCAAAACAAAAGCACAAACATTATATTACGTTATATTATATATTAGCTAGCTTTACATATCCACTTTTACACCATCCATCTTTTTCTTTTCCATGTATCATTTTAATGTCATCCTGGATGTTCATCTTCCTTGCCACCTGACGAATGGACTTCCCTTCTCCACCTCGTTCACTCAGTAAACTCTCTCTATTATAACTCTGTGGCATGAGGGTCTGTTTCTGTTTTTGGTCTGAAATTAAGAATGTCACAGTGGAAAACTATAAAAATACAATCTACAGTTACAATAAAATAATATGTTTAAAATATTCATAAGTGTGGCCTCTTGGCACAAATTACCCCAACAACACCATTTTGGAAAAAAAGCATCATCCAACAGTTTTGAGTATCGACTCACAGTGTAGCTTACCAAATCTCTAACACATCTGTGAAATGTTTTCAGACTTTTCTATAACGGTTCATACGCAACAATCAAAAACCAAATCACCCCACTTTCCCCTGTGCCAAATAATAGCAGCTGATCTTCACAGCTACCTGAGGAACAGCTGAGCTGAACTTCCTCCTGACATGAAGCTTAATAAACACAAACAGGCAGTTTTCTCTTCTTCTCCACACAGACTGTGACAGTAAAACACAGGTTTTTGTTTAACTGGTGTGATCCGTTTACATATTCCACTCTCTGTGATCAGCAGGTGTTAAACAGCTGACAGGTGAACAGGATGTTGAGGCTTTGTCTGTAGCGTCATGAGGAAAACGTTGGCTTGTTATTTAAGTTACAGAAGGACAGAGGTGTGAGACTAGGTGGAAAACTTTTTGTTTTTTAAAAAAAATAAAATTCAAATAATTGAATTGTGGTCTGATGAGAATATTGATACGGGTATGCATTTGAACGAGCTGGAGATGGAGCCCATTTTTGTCTTGTCAAACCTCATGACCCAGAGACAGAGACGACATCCAGTGAAAACGACGCAACATCTGCAACACGGAGAGAGCTGACCTAGAACATCGATCACACTCACGTTTGTTTGTTGGCAAACAGGTGAAGTCCTGAAATGTTTCTCTGAGGAAGGTTCCTCATCGATAAATCGATCACTGAAAAACCTTGAGCTCACAGTTGCTTCACCAATTGTAATAACCTGTAAATAATCTGTTCATGATGGAAGATGAAGAGGAGTCTCATCCTTCCCTTCAGCGTGGTCTCCTACACATGGACTTCATATTTCACTCCATCCTGGTTCCTGTTGCAGTCATATGATATTTTACGGCCGTCCTTTCTGTGTCATCCTTTCAGGCCTGTGAGGGTCACCATGTTAAGTGTGGGGGGCTTGTCGAGGATCTTCAGCCTTCCCATACGAGGATTCTGCTCAGCTGTGATCTACAGGAAGTCACTTCCACCTGTCATCACCTCCTCTCCTGGCAACTACCTCCATAGATCAGGAGGGGGGGCACACGTGTCAGGTGTGCGGTTCCTGTCAGGTGGCAGCAGCGATGCTGCAGGTGGGTGGTACAGCAGCCTGGCGAACTCGACCCCAGTTCACCTGTGTGAACAGCTCCTGGTGAGCGTACAGGAGGCGAGCGGGTTGCCGTGGTGGTTTAGCATCTGTGTAGCGACGCTGTCAGTGAGGACACTCGTCACTCTGCCGCTCGCTGCCTACCAGCTGGTCGTCATCTCTAAGGTCAGTGACGCAGGGCTTCACATATAAGATAAGATAACCTTTATTAGTCCCACACGTGGGAAACTTGTTTTGTCACAGCAGAAAGTGGACAGTGCAAAGTTACATAGCAAACACTGGAACACAATAAGAATAAGGTACTGTACACAACTGTACAGAATAGAATAGAATAAAATAAAATACTATATACAATAGGATAAAAAAATAGAATACAAATGCTTTATACAACTGAGTAAAAATACAACTTTGTTGGGAAAAAAAAGTATTGCACTTAGTCTTATTGCACATGTGTGCATGTGTGTGTTTGATCAGTTGAAGTCTTTGTTGTGGAGTCTGATAGCAGTGGGGAGCAAAGACCTGTGAAATATCTCTGTCCCACACCGTGGGTGCCGCAGCCACTGAAGGAGCTGCTCAGTGCTGTCAGAGTCTCCTGCATGGGGTGGGAGATGTTGTCCAACAGGGATGACAGCTTAGCCACCATTCTCCTGTCACTCACCACCTCCACTGGGTCCAGAGGGCATCCTAGAACAGAGCTGGCCCTTCGGATCAGCCTGTTCAGTCTCTTCCTGTCCCCAGCAGAGAGCAGAGATGCTGCTGCCCCAGCAGACCACACCGTAAAAGATGGCTGAGGCCACCACAGAGTCATAGAAAGTCTTCAGGAGTGGGCCCTCCACTCCAAAAGACCTGAGTCTCCGCAGCAGGTACAGCCTGCTCTGCCCTTTCCTGTAGAGGGCGTCTGAATTATGAGTCCAGTCCAGTTTATTGTTCAGATGAACAACAAGGTACCTGTAGCTGTCCACAGCCTCAATGTCCATACCTTGGATGTTCAGTGGTTGCAGTGGAGGATGTTTGTGCCTGTGGAAGTCTACCATCAGATCCTTGGTTTTACTGGTGTTGATGTGGAGGTAGTTCAGCTGGCACCAGTCCACAAAGCCTTGGGTCAGTTCTCTGTACTCCCTGTCGTCTTCATCAGTGATGAGGCAGACTATTGCAGAGTCATCAGAGAACTTCTGCAGGACGCACTGGGTGGAGCTGTGGGAGAAGTCTGCAGTGTAGATGGTGAAAAGGAACGGAGCTAGAACTGTTCTCTGTGGGCCCCCGTACTGCAGACGACCCGTAGTCCAGAATCATGTGGTGAGGTGATGATCCACTCCAGAGTTCTCCAGTTTGTCCTTCAGGACTGTGGGCAGAATGGTGTTAAAGGCACTGGAGAAATCAAAGAACATGATTCTCACAGTGCTCCCAGCGGTCTCCAAGTGAGAGAGGGAGCGATGTAGGAGGTGGATGACGGCATCATCCGCTCGAATGCCAGGCTGGTAGGCAAACTGAAGTGGGTCCAGTGATGAGCTCACCAGGCGCCGAAACTGAGCCAGGACCAGTCGCTCCAGGGTCTTCATCAGGTGGGATGTCAGAGCCACCGTCTTGTAGCTGTTGAAGGTCATCTGTGCAGTGTCATTGCAGTAGTTACCAGAGTCACCTCACAATGACAAGGTTGCTGCTTCAGCTCGTTCTTCCTGTGTGATCCTGTTTCTGGCTGTAGGTGAGGCGGATGAGTGCAGAGTGCAGACCCTTTCTGCTTCACTGCATGAAAGCAAACTTAAACATGTTGATGGTTTAAAATACTTTGAGTGGTCAGTAAGAGGGGAAAGGTCTGTCTGTGTCCACAGACTCATCCAACATACTTAATGCTGGTCACATGATCTCAGGTCAGAGTTTGAGGGTCTCATGATGTTTTTGCCGCCTCTAATCCATCTTTGTGCTTCTAAAAGAAAATCCAGCGCTCCCACATCTCTACATCTGACCTTAGATCAGACTGTAGTTTGTCCTCAGAGAGAAGAAATATTTCAGGAATCCAGACACTTTCCCTCCCCCTTCTCTCCCACGAATTCTGTCCTCCTCGTCCTCCTCCTCGTGTCCTTTTAAACTGAAATGAAAAAGGAAGCCTCTGAGACTCTCAGCTGACACGTCAGCTTTTAACCGCCTTTAAGTTACTTTACTTTACCTCATCATGTTTTGGAGGAATACTCTGCAGCTGCCTCTGAGTTTATCCAGTCAGAAGCATCCGTTTAATTAAGGTGCTTTTTTTCCCCGTGAGATGTCCCAAAAAAAGTTTCAGTTGGTCAGAGCAAAGATGTAAGCTTTATCTAATGCAGCCCCTTAGTTTCTGCAATGAAAAACCCACAAAACTAACTATTATTAACCAACCCCCCAGAATCTAACCATAGTAACCTTCATGTGATATGCAGGTGGAGGCACTACAGGCTGAAATCTCTGAGCTGGCCAAGAGACTACGCTATGAAGTGTCAGTCAGAGCAGGAGAGAGAAGCTGGACGGAGAGAGAAAGCCGGTGAGACACAACTAACAGACTTAAAACAACAACAAACAAATACATTCAAAGAAACAAAAAAACATCCAATAGACAGCATACAACCAGTCAGTCTGTCCTCCTACCAGGTTCCAGTTCAAGAAGAACCTGCGGCGGATCGTCTCTCAGCTCTACGTCAGAGATAACTGTCACCCCTTCAAAGCCAGTCTGCTGGTCTGGGTTCAGCTGCCACTCTGGATCAGTCTGTCTCTGGCCCTCCGAAATCTGAGCCTGGATCAGTCTGGTAAGAACCTGGACCAAATGAAACTAACCTAACCCAGCCCAAAATTATGAGGTAGGATACAGTACTGTGCAAAAGTCTTGAGCCACCCCTCATGTCTTTAAATTTTTGACTTTCCTGTATTTTTGTTAAGTGCTCTTGAGCGATAGTTCTCTCACGCGCTCATTCTTTTCCCTCCCTGCAACGTACAGCAGCTGGAGCTTCAGCTAGCAGACATACTGTGTGACAAACTGCACACAAACAAGCTGATATCATGAATAAGAGACAAAGTAAGAGAAATGTTTAAGGTACAGAGAAAAAAACAACTGAAACAGGCTGCATAATATATTTACCTATATGTTTGCAAGCTTCGAAAAATTGGTGCACCTGCTCAAGAGTCATGCATAGTACCGTGACTTTTACCTGGTCCAGGATGTAGTCTACACCACTCCCAATCCAGGACCTCTGTTTTTCCTGCAGACCTACAGGGGGCGCTGGCAGCAGGAGGTGCTCTGTGGTTCCCTGACCTCACCATACCGGACTCCACCTGGATCCTACCTGTCTGTCTGGGACTCACCAACCTGCTCATCGTAGAGGTCAGTTTGTCAGCAGTATGTAATTAGCTGATCAGTGGTGTAATCAGTCTAAGCTTCCTGTGCGCTTCTTCTTCAGGTTTTTTCTCTGCAGAGAGTCGCAGCGTCTCGAACCCAGCAGCTGGTCTTGAACACCGTTAGAGGATTTTCTCTGCTGATGATCCCAATCGCCGCCACGGTGCCCTCTGTGAGTTTAAGGCTGGCTTCAGGCTGAGAAAAGTGATGGACTACACAGTCCATCACTTTTCTCAGCCTGAGGTCTTAGACCAGGTCAGAACAGCCATTTGACATTCAGGAAACGAGTTACAAGCTGAAATTTACAAAAAAGAAAAACATTTTAGTCATAAAACGTGCGTACTACACCTGCAGGGAAAATAACCTTTACACATTACAGCCCGCTTAGACATGTATACACCTGGACCACCCTCATTTCCCGACCACTACACGTCCCATTCAACCTGAACAAGAACTTGAATTTGATCTGTGATCAAATGGGACACCATGGGACACATGGAGACTGAGTCTTATTCATTCACACAGCACAAATATGCAAGTGATGAAGGTGTAGTAAGCTGGTTAACATGAGACTAAAATGGCATTAAATAAATATTTTATTTATATAGCACCTTTCTAGACAGAGTCACAAAGTGCTGCATATAGGATAATAAATAATAAAAGGGTAAAACAGACAATATAAAACAGGCAGAAATTTAACCAAAAACAGTTTTAAAAAGGTGAGTTTTGAGTTGTTTTTTAAAAACAACTACCGAGTCCACAGATCTTAATGTATGAGGGAGAGCGTTCCACAGTCTCGGGGCCACAGTGGCAAAAGCTATATAGGGCTGTAGCAGATCGGAGATGTAGGCTGGTGCCAGTCCATGCAAGGCTCTAAATATCAAGACCAGGACCTTAAAATGTACTCTAAATTCAACAGGAAGCCAGTGTAGCTGAAATAGCTATGGTGTCACATGTGAATACTTGGAGGATCTTGTCAAAAGTCTAGCTGCAGCATTTTGCACAACCTGCAGATGATCCAGAGAACCTTTGCTTAGACACATAAACAAAGAGTTACAATAGTCCAAGCGTGAGGAAATAAATGCATGTATAGCTATCTCCAGTTCAGGGCAAAATAAAATAGGGCTTAACTTAGCCACATTTCTTAAATAATAAAAACAAGACCGGACCAGAGAATTCACATGCCCATCCAATGTGAGAGTCGAGTCAAAAGTGACAACTAAATTCCTGATAGAGAATTTAACATACACAGGAAGAGGACCAAGGGCTTTCACTATCTGGGATACAAATCTGTCTGGAGCACATACGAGGACTTCAGTTTTCCCCTCGTTGAGTTGGAGGAAATTTACAGCCATCCAACGTTTGACGGAATCTAAGCATTCTAAGGCATTCTTCATCCTTCACATCAGCTGATCATGAGTGTCATAGCCCCGCCCTCTCTGAGCCTGATCTGAGCTCTAATTAGCTTATATCTCTTACAGGTAAAAGATTATTATGGCCACTGAATGGTGTAGGTGATTAAGTTGATCTGTATATAAGTGAAAGTTTTTAATCTCTCCACAGTCTGTGAAATGTCGGTACTGCCACCCACGAGCTTTACACTGGTGAGCTCGTTCTCCCGACATTTGTGAGTGAAGCAGCATTTGCCTCGTTTCCTGTTCATAAACACAGCTCTGACTGAGGAATGTTTCATGTTCAGATCTGCCAAGTCAACAAATGTTTGAACGTGTTAAGTCGCTCCCGCATTCCTGTCAGGTCATCAGATTAAAGTGTCTGTTCAGGGTTTTATTTTGAAAGAACGTTCCTGTGTATTAATCAGATTAAGGTGTTTTATTCTGAAAGTGTCTCACTGTGTCTCTCCTCACAGTCCATGGCTCTGTACTGGTTTGCTTCCAGTCTGGTGGGATTCAGTCACAACCTCCTCCTTCGCTCTCCTTCAATCCGCCGACTCTTGCAACTGTCGACTCCTCACTCGACATCTCCATACAGAGACTTGCTGACCGCCTTCTTCGCCAAATACCGCAAATGACCGTGCTGTCAGATAATACAGCTGCAAACATCTACAAAACAAGTTGAGGACAGCAGACTGACTCAGTTTAATAATTACTAGCTGCCTGGGTCCACCTGATGGAAAAAAACCCCAGCTGACTGTAACTTCCTGTCAGAGTTTAAAGTCATATAAAGTCAGGTAAACGTCTGTGACAATGTGATCACCTCAGACATTTAAAGTGTTTGATGTTAATCTGAGATGTGTCTGTCTGGTCATAAATAAAGTCACTTCAGACTGCGAATGCTCTGTGTTGAAGTTCATCTCTGAACAATAACAGGAAGTGAATGCATGATCTTTGACCGCCTGTTTATTTTCCCACAGACACTCTCTAAACTTAGAAACAGTTCAAGAGGAAGGATTACAGATCAGCCACTTATCGATCAGATGTTTCCCGTATTTATACCTGTGTGGATCAATAGTCTCTTCCCTGATTCTTCTGTCACACAGTGTGACACAAAGTAGATGAGCTGTTGTGATACTCTGCACTTGTCCCAGAAGTACTGACTTTGTGTACATTATTCTTTCTATATATTTATTTGCTATGATTTGCTATGCACTGACTCTCCTGGCTTTGTTTGTGTGAGCATTCAGTCGCCTGCAAAACAAACAGTCAGTAAATTAAAGCAAATACTCAGTTACATGTTGTTTTATATTTTATTATGTCACAGGATTAAGTCATTTGTTTTCTTGTTTTCAATCTTCACGTAGGTCATGTGCGGGAAAGGCCCGCCCAGCATCTCCTGACTACTACTGATGATCTGACATCAGCAGGTTAAACCAAGAGGAGGGGTTTCTTGCTTGCTTGCTTTTGTTTGTTTCATGGTACAAAGGGATTTGTTGCATATTTTTTCTTATATAGAGCCATTTAGTCATAAATGTGTTAATCAAAAGATTGGGGAGCTTTTTGTAATTCTCAATCATTTCTGTTGAGTTTTAGATTCCTCAGCTCAAGCCAATGGTACTGGCTAGAATAACTGAAGGTAAACTGATTTGAGCTGCGTCCCAATTCAGGGGCCTTATCCTTCGGATTTGAAGGCCGATTAGTTACAGCAACGTGATGAAGGCTGCTCCAAATGGGGCCAACAAATGTGTCCTTCATTTTCCCAGATTTGATGGATGGGTCGGGTGTATCCTTTGTGGCCCACCATATCCCAGAATTCATAGCGTGGCCCAGCCAAGTTTCCAACAATGGTGGCAGCTACTTAGTTTTAACGCCGACAGTCTCGGTTGTTGTGTCCTTTGGCAATACACTTCAGCTGTTGCCTACTGGTTGTGGTCAGATTCCAAACATTTTTTACAAATAAATAACTGCAAAGTGGGGTGTGTGTAATTATTCAGCCCCCTTTGGTCTGAGTGCAGTCAGTTGCCTATAGACATTGCCTAATGAGTGCTAATGACTAAATAGAGTGCACAACTGTAAACCTACCAAGACAAGGCCGTCCACCTAAACTCACAGGCCGAACAAGGAGAGCGCTGATCAGAAATGCAGCCAAGAGGCCCATGGTGACTCTGGACGAGCTGCAGAGATCTACAGCTCAGCTGGGGTGCACTGCACAAAGTTGGCCTTTATGGAAGAGTGGCAAGAAGAAAGCCATTGTTAACAGAAAACCACAAGAAGTCCCGTTTGCAGTTTGCCACAAGCCATGTGGGGGACACAGCAAACATGTGGAAGAAGGTGCTCTGGTCAGATGAGACCAAAATGGAACTTTTAGGCCAAAATGCAAAACGCTATGTGTGGCAGAAAACTAACACTGCACATCACTCTGAACACACCATCCCCACTGTCAAATATGGTGGTGGCAGCATCATGCTCTGGGGGTGCTTCTCTTCAGCAGGGACGATGGATGGAGCCAAATACAGAGCAATCTTGGAAGAAAACCTCTTGGAGTCTGCAAAAGACTTGAGACTGGGGCGGAGGCTCACCTTCCAGCAGGACAACAACCCTAAACATAAAGCCAGGGCAACAATGGAATGGTTTAAAACAAAACATATCCATGTGTTAGAATGGCCCAGTCAAAGTCCAGATCTAAATCCAATCGAGAATCTGTGGTAAGATCTGAAAACTGCTGTTCACAAACGCTGTCCATCTAATCTGACTGAGCTGGAGCTGTTTTGCAAAGAAGAATGGGCAAAGATTTCAGTCTGTAGATGTGCAAAGCTGATAGAGACATACCCTAAAAGACTGGCAGCTGTAATTGCAGCAAAAGGTGGTTCTACAAAGTATTGACTCAGGGGGCTGAATAATTACGCACACCCCACTTTGCAGTTATTTATTTGTAAAAAATGTTTGGAATCATGTATGATCTTCGTTCCACTTCTCACATGTACACCACTTTGTGTTGGTCTTTCACGTGGAATTCCAATAAAATTGATTCATGTTTGTGGCTGTAATGTGACAAAATGTGGGAAAGTTCAAGGGGGCCGAATACTTTTGCAAGCCACTGTACTTGCAAATCAATAGGCAACGACACTCTACGAAACAACAATCAAAAACACATGCGCTTTGTTGGATGGTGGAGGCTGTCATCTGGTGGTTAAATACTGGAGGTGATCAATCAATTATCTAATCCCAGGACAGGCAGAGACTCCACCCAACAACTCAGCAGACACGCCCAGGTGTCCACCCCCTAAGAAAGAAAAGGGGAAAAAAAAAACACAGCCTTCCTCTGGTGGGAGGAGTCACACATAAAACAAACACTGACAACATTGGATCATAACACAGTTAAAAGTTGAAATGTAAATAGTTGTTTTTTTTATTATATAATTGATTTGTTTACATTTTATGTGGAGTGAATAAATAAAAGCATATTTATATATAAACATATATAAATAAAAACATGTTGTTGTTTTACATTAGTAATTCATTTTGTGCATAATTTAATATTATTGTTGATAATAAATTAATTAAACCAACGAAACAACTTGAAGAGCTGGTTGGGAGCCGGAATTCCCATCACTAGAGAAAGCGAACTCCCGGCACACCGTTTTCAGACTCCCCGCGGTCTTTGGCTACTCAGGTTAAACATGATATATAAGTCACTCAGATAACTTAAAAATGTTATTGTTTGGTTTTTTCACTGCTTTATTTGTTCCTGAGTAAATTGGTTTGGCTGAAATTAAAGTTCTAGTTTTCGCACAGCTGAATAAACGTCAAACAGAAAACTGATTAAACAAAAGTGTGAGATGATCGAGAGTTTGCTCCACTGTCCTGTTATATTTTAGATAGCGAGGAGCAGATGGCTGAGTTTATTAAACTCCACCGAGACAGCGGTGACGCAAATCTGACGGCCAATTTCACAGCCGCTCACTTCAGGCCTACCCGGTCTTCGGAGGACTCGGCCCAGATCTGAGTGACTTATATATCATGTTTAACCTGAGTAGCCAAAGACCGCGGGGGGTCTGAAAACGGTGTGCCGGGAGTTCGCTTTCTCTAGTGATGGGAATTCCGGCTCCCAACCAGCTCTTCAAGTTGTTTCGTTGGTTTAATTAATTAAACCAACGAAGGACGGGTCCTCCAAAGGATGCAGCCTAGGAATTGGGACACAGCTATAGTCAGTCTCTGCTTGATTCAGGTGAAGGAGGAGAGGTGAGCTGTGAGTTTTGTTAAGTTTCACAAATAATGGAGGTCACTGTAAGTAAATTGCTCGTCTCTGGGAACCCAAAAAGTCTGCTTACCCTCTCCCCTTCCTTGATGCTCGAATCAGACTGCTTCCCACAGTAATACTATAACACAGAGTACAGCACAGTTGTAATAATCAGAATACCTTAATGATCCCTGAGGAAAGTAAGTGGTGTCAGTTGTACAAAGTCAATAAGAACAGTAACAGACCAAACTAAATAATAATACACTATAATGCAAAGTTTACAAAATAAGAACTAGCTCTAATATATAAAATATCTCAATTATAAATATCTAGAATAATACGTGATATATACGATTCACATTTTACTTTAAAATGTAAAACTTTGTTATTTACTGCAGAGCGTGTGCAAAGAGTATAACTACTGCACTGTGTGCTGATGGAGCTGTACAGAGATGGCCTCCATTCCCACAACATTACTGGCCTTGTGACCAGTTTATTTAGTCGCATCTGCGACCCTCAACCTGCTGTCCCAGCATGCAACAGCACAGAGGATAGCACTGACCACAGCAGGCTGATAGAGAATCCTGAACACTGTCTGACAGATGTTGAAGGACCTCAGAAACTCTGGCCGTTCCTGTAGAGTGCAATGGCGTTTTTAACCCAGTCCAGCCTATTATCAGTGTGTCCTCTGAGGTATTTATGCTCCTCCACAATGTCCACATCGACCACCTGGATTGAAACGGGGGTCACGAGTTTCCTGGTCTTCCTAAAGTCCACAATCAGTTCTTTGATCTTTGTCACGTTGAGCTGCAGATGATTCTGCTCGCATCACGTGACAAAGGAGTCATCAGAAATTTTCTGAAGGTGGCAGGTCTCTGTGCATGTAATACTGTATGGAAATAGTGTAAAGTACAGTAGTACTCAGTACAGTAATGCAGTATTACTTTACAGGGTCGTATTATCTTCCTGTGCTTCTAGGCTGAGGGTGGGATCAGCTGTGGGTGGAGGCGGAGTCCCACCCTTGGAGCAGCTGTGTTTCAGCCCCTCAGTTTCAGACTGACTCAGAGCTGCTCGCAAACATGAAGTCTTTCTGCCTCCTCTCTCTGATCCTCCCGGTCCTCTCAGTCCGGGACTCTGCCCCTTTGGGATGTGGATCTTGTGACCTGGCTCAGTGTGCTCCTCTCCCAGCAGAGGGCTGTGCTGCCAGCTCTCTGGTGGACTCCTGTGGCTGCTGCTCTGTCTGCGCTGCCGCAGAGGGTGAGCTGTGCGGAGGTCGCCGGTCGGCAGCTCGCCGCTGTGGCTCCGGTCTGGAGTGCGTGAGAAGCGGCAAGAACAAGAAGAACGAGATGGGAGTCTGTGTCTGTAAGA